AGAGTAGAGAAGGAAGAAGGAAGAAGAAGAAAGAAAGAAAGAAAGAAAGAAAGAAAGAAAGAAAGAAAGAAAGAAAGAAAGAAAGAAAGAAAGAAAGAAAGAAAGAAATCTGTCTGAGAACAATTCTAAAGAAATTTTCAAGCAGCAGAAAGAAAGGTAGAAAAACAGGGAAACCTGATGTGTTTGGATTGCACAATATTTCTACTGTGAAAATGCAACCCCAGTAATAGGCCCCTTCACAAAGCATTCTTTCACATCCAGTGAAATGTAAAGAGGGGAGGGATGAGAAAAAGTAGCAATTAATGAGAAGGAGAAAAGCAAATCTTAACACCTACCTATTAATGCTGCCAGGACTATTCTAGGACATACTGTCTATTTCCTTTTAGAAAATATAAAAATGAATCACACTGTTAAAATACAGGCACATTTTTTTTCCTGATAAGCTTACTGCCCTTCCCATCACTAGTTTGCATACTGAAACTCAGCCAGAAAAATGTAGGTCTTCCGTCTCAGGGCAGGAAAATCTTCACTTGCTGTATTTTTGGGTAGGGTAGGGCTAGAGAGCCATTCTTGTTGGATCCCACTACAATGCCACCCTGTCCTGGCTACTACTCTTTTCTCCTGGTCCCAGTCACGTTGCTTTCACCTTATCACCAGCCCACAAGTGAGACAGGATTAAGGTGTCTTTATCTGGTGGTAAGCTAGAATGTTCTCCCTTAGTCTGATGCTACTGAAAGGCAGCCTCAAAATATGTCAACTCTGTCATGACCCATTCCTTGGAAGGAAGTCAGGTCCCCACAGTGCCTGGACACGGAGGAAACAGGGCAGGATAGGAATTGGCAATGAGGACAGCAAACTGCATATAGAGATTGTTTTTCACCAACTCAAGGAAGGGTGGAGAGCAACTGAACCCGGCAGCAGGAAAAGGACATAGAAAATAACTTTATTTATTTGCTTATATCAATGCATATGGTCACCAATCTCACAAATGTAATTCTGGACAGCTAACAAAAATTAAAGCTTTAACTCAAAGGGGGGAAATGGTCACATGATTTTCAGATTCTAAACCAGGTTTGTATGACTTGTTTGGAAAGTAAGCAATGGTTAGCATCTGGTTTTTAATTGAGTTCAATGAAGTTTCCTTTAACTGAGCAGAAGAATGCCTGCCTGCCTGCCTGCCTGCCTGCCTGCCTGCCTGCCTGCCTGCCTGCCTGCCTGCCTGCTCTCTCCTCCTCC